TATCCGCGCCTTCGAGCCGGAAATATTTCGATTCGATCGATTAAATCTCACCGTGTAATATCGTCCGATACGTATCTCGAGCAGCGGACGAATTTTATTTTTCTTCGATTCGGGGAGAAGTGATCCGCGAAATCTTCGTTACTCTCCGTTTTACCGGCGGATTTAATGATTATTAATTACAGATAAATCCATTCTGCTCTGCTTTTAACCGATATTACACTATCATCACTCGTGAGAGATTTTGATCCATCGATTGGAAATTCGACTATTGTCTGTATTCACTGTTTAAACGAAGCAGAGATTTGGATTTAAGAAATGTAATTTTTCTTTTTTCTTATTAACGTCGATTTTCGATCATGAATTATTGCTAATCGTGAAATTGCTGGTTTCGATAATTAATCGAACGATGTTTCGAAGGATCACATTCTACTTTTCTAAGGATAAAGGATTGATGCAGAGACAAAGAGAAGGATGAATTTTTCACGTGTCATCCAAGCGCCATTTGTAAACGAGTGTGCGCAAAATAGAGCGAAAAGAACGGTGAAAATAGTTCTTTGATCGGTCAACTACGACATCGTGTTCTTGGAAACGAATATGGCCGAACGGTGCGCTCTACGAATTTTGCTTACAAGCGAAACTCATTTATTCGTCGTATATATATATATATATATATCTTTATCTTTGTAACTAATTTATTTAACTTGGTAAATTGCAAGCGCAGCAAGCTTGTGAAATATAATAATTTTCACGAGACTGCTACTACGATAATAATACACTCTCTTCCACCCCAATTCATATATTTTACTTTATCGTCTTCTACTTATCCACAATGTCTGGTATACCGGTATTATTATCTCCATTATATTAGCACGTCGGTCTATTCACTAATAAAATTCGTGACAACCGAGATTTATTTCCACGAAATGACAACTGCATTCTTCTTTCGCGATCATCCATTTAACATTTATAACTACAAACATTAACCGTTGATTAATCCCGAAATATATTAAATTCAATTTATCAAAATAAACTTATTATATTCAATGTAGTTGATTAGAAAAACTTTTTTTATTCTTTCCTGGACGAATAAAACAGAGAAGATACATTGGAACATTGGAGAAGTGTCGCTATGTATATATCTTTGAACTATTAAAACGAACAATTTATCAAAAGTTTCGATCGGAAATTTTTAAGTCGTTACAACTCTCGTGAAACTTTTCCCCTGTACTTCTTTTTTTTTATTCGCAAAATACGTTTTCGTTTTACATCGTTTCCTCAACTTGTCTTTACACGATTGTCAAAACGATTGCAAGAAATGCAATTTCTCGAAAAGATATCTCTTACAATTCTTACATCTTGTAAAAGAATTCTTTAAAAAAAAAGAAAAAAAAAATTGACAAACTTTCTACGATACGCCATAATCACAGGGAGCAAAGGCAAGAGGTTATCCGGCGAGAATTCGATTTTTGAACAGACGTTTCTACGAGTAACGCTGCAATTAACTTCGATCTCTCGAATACGTCGAAATACGAAGAATGCGTGAGAAGTACACACAACGTACACACAATGGTCGACTGCCAATTTCAAGTTTCGGAACGAGAGCTGGTAATTGGAGAAAGAAACGAGAGAAGTTTTTCCGTATAAATGCTCCGAAAAAAAAACTTCAATTTCATTCAGCTAAAATTTTCGAGATAAAAGGAAACGAGCAATTAAGAGAGATGGAACGATGAAATCAACGAAATAACCATCAAATCTATTTCTTGATACGGTTCGATTCATTTTCATTCTCCAGGTGTAACTGTTTCCCTCGATTCCAATTTTTTTTTATTTATCACAAGACACATCGGCAATGGCGCTTCTCGTGAATGAAAGGAAAGAAATAAGAAAAAAGAACGAATGTTAATTTTACGAGGATACGAAGGAACAACAACAAAGGGCGTTGAGAAATTTCGCGAATTAATTATTCGAAACCGTGGAATTATGATTATACGGTCGTTGGACGATGGTGAATATGAATAACATTAATTTATTTCGCGTGAAAAAGAATTCACGCTTGTTCGTTCGATATACGAATTATTACCTCGCAACTTGAAGCGCGAAAAATGTACATAAAATGTACGAATGATACGAGCGAAATCGAAAAGAAAGAATTGAAATAATTGCGTGTATAAAATTTCAGTTTCTTTTTAAATTATCATTTAAAAAAAATATAATAATTAATTAAATGGGAAAAGCTGTTTCAGAAGAAGGACGTGGCATCGTTGAAAACTTGTTTAACAACCACTTCTCAAAGTAAAAAATGTTTGATAAAAACGAAAGAGCAAAATAATCCAACAACGATATATTGTACAATATATTATGAAATTCTTTTAGAATTTATTGCTTCTCTTTTAATCCTAAAACTTTCATTCAATTTTATTCCCTGCATTAATTACAATCTTATCTTTGGCGCTCTTAAATTCTACTATAACTAACAATAATAATGAATTAACATTAAGAAGACACGTGTCATAAATTTTAAAGGATATAATCAAGCGATGTAAAATTTGTCGTGTTCAATTAAATTAAAAACTTTCGCGTATCATGTATCATCAGTAAAGGGAATTAACATTTCGTGAAATTTAAACTATTAATTAAAACAATAATATTAGTTCAATTATACTTGGAGAACTATATACCTCGATCAGATAATTCGATTCTCCAATCGCGACTCTCGTCTTCCAGTATTCCATCTATATAATCCGTACGTAACCACCCCCAAAATTTCACAGAATCAGTGATTCGGCTTCCCTCTCGTTTATCTACGAATACCAGCCCAATTCGCATGCTTCGACGAACGAGAACTTTCATCGTTGAGAACAACTATTAAGGAACGGAATATCAGTGATGATAATTGCGATAAAGTCGATATAGAGGGTGCATGCTTAAATGTAAACCGGCGGAGTTGCAATCCAAAACAAAGCTCGAGCGGGAAATGAAAGTGTCAATTGAATGAATTTTAAAATCGGTCAATTACAGTTTTCCCAAAACCGTCGATGAAACATCGACTTTCATCCTAACTAAGTTGATACAGATTTTTCGACGAAGAATGTTTCTGATGAAAATCGAGAACCTCCGCTTGTTGGTCTTTTCTCGTCTTGATTTTTTTTTTCTCTCTCTCTCTGAACTCGAATCAGTTCGTCGATATGGAAAATTGCCAATATTTTCCAGTGAAATAAACTTTTTGAAATTCGTCGATTATCAACTTTCGCTTACATTTTTATTATTCGTCCTTTTATTATTTCACGTGTCGTGAAACATTTTGTCAAGAACAGAATATCCAGTTTTATGGAATTTGGAAATAATAAACGCGGAATATTAAAATTTTCAAAAACATGTCAATGAATAAAATTCGTATACACACGATTAATTTTCGTTCTTTATTATAAATTATAACATCCGTTTGGAATTCTTCCCGATCGAAAATTATTTTGTAAAATCTTTCATTCCCTTTTTCTATCAACGATTTAATTTAATCGTTTAATCATTCGATTTCTGTTATTCGATTAATATAAATTTTTAGAATTGATATTTCGTGGGATCTATTATTTTATTTATTTTATAAATGAATTCGATTTTCATTTCATCGATTCCGATCTCGTGTTTACCATCGAACTATTTTTCATCGATTATCGTTGTAAAAGCGAGGATCTAAAGATCAATCGCCGAGCGAAATTTAAAAAAATTACTATCACTTTTCACTTTATCACTCGTGCTATGAACAAAAATAAAAGAACGTGAAATCTGCGATTCCATTTGAAACGGTAGGATAAACGTGTTAAGTGAACTTTCGACGTATGAAAAAACTTGTTCAAAACTACTTGCAATTTATTAAAACGTTTACAATTTCAGAAAAATTCATGATTTTAACGATAACTCTTCTTCTTCTTTTACGATCTCCAATATAACTTTATCAATTCTTAGATTCTTTTTTTTTTTTAGATCAATATCGAAACATTAAAGTTTGCGATCCAATTTCGAATCGTTCCTTTAAAGAAAAATCCAATCTCGGATCATTAGATTCTGAATAAAAAATTATTTGAAAGTGAATTTTTATTGAAAATCCATTTCTGACCGAATATCAATGCACGATATAATTTCGACGTGACGAAGAATTTGAATAAAATTTTCGGATAAATTTTAAATTTTAGAATCAAAAATCTAAAATTCCAATTTCATTCCCTTCATTACCTTCGTTCAAACACGAAAAACACTGCCAAAACTCCAAGCCCCGTCCCAATTCCTTGATCGCAAAATTCAAAATCGTTCGATTAAAAATCTCGCTAAAAATGTTTCAAACCATTACTTTTCGTCCATTACGAATATGAATCGCCTCTGTTCCATTCGGACGGCCGGATCAAGCCGAGAGAGTACTGATGCAACTGGTTATTTTTAAAAGAGTCAGCCCACGAGAAAACTTGTCACGCGACCGCGTCGTTAAACGGTATATCGGTATTAAAACTGGTATTGGAAACGTTCTCCATTGTGAAAATTGTTCTACTAAACGCCATACCGTGCGAATCAACTCGGTCCTTTAGTCGTCCTTTCGCCATCTCTGTACAAATTACCAAAATCGCGTTTTCAGGTCGCTCGTCTTATTACGATTACCGATCGCCAGATATTCCGCGATTCGTTCTACATGGAATAAATTAGATGGAAGTGATGAAGCGTGGGCCGTGAATTATCGAATTAACAGGAGAAGGAAAGAAGTGGAGGAGGAAAAAGGAAGAAATCTGGAAGAAGAAGAAGAAGAAGAAGAAGAAGAAGTAAAGTTTAAATTCTTGAGCTAACTGTCCGTCGGGGATTATTATTTCGTTGGAATTTTCATCGTTGGAGGATGAGAATTACGATTTTAGGAGGGAATTATATCATAAGCGCGTCTAAGTATCTCGAGCCACGACATTTGGACGTTCGCGTTTTCTAAGAAGATGCATTTTCTTTTTTTTTCAGATTTCACTAAAATGGCTCTTAAAATGGACGCGAGGCTGTTCGCATCCGTTGCCGTCGTCGTCGTCCTCAATTTATTCGTAATCGTTCCTCGCAGTTGCGATGCATTGCGTCCAATCAAGATCGGTGAGTCAAATCAAAAATCCTCCCTCAAAATTAATCCAACTTATCTCCATAAGGAGAAAAGAAATTATCGAATCTACTCGCTTTCCAAAAATTCCGTGCAATTTCCGAAACGGGAGAGCAAAAGCAAAAAACAAAAACAAAAAAAAGAATGAAAGAAAGAAAAAAAATCTACAACAAATTTTCAACGCCGAAAAAAAAAACGCTACGAATTTCGCATGGAAAACAAAAGGGAAACGAGAGGAAAAGGGGGGAGAGGGATAGAGAACATGTTCGCGCGCAAATTAAATTTCTACCGGTGTCGAGACAAAGCCATTCCCTCCCCCCAGGATCCCTTTAAAAAGATGGACGAACACAGAACCGGGGAAAAAAAATCTACCACGCGCGAAAATATTTCCGCAATAATCGTGACTCACCCCGGTTACGCGTGTTTCGCGCGGAAGACACGACACCTTTCAATTCCAATAGAATGTAAGCGCCAACCTCGTCCCCCCCGATGTTCATTTCCCGTCCAATTCGAATAATTCGCGCCACGCTTCCACCATCCCCCCAGCCGTAAATATACACGGCATTTACACGCGCCGTTGGTCGAATCGTTCGCACTTTATAGACAGGCGATACACCCTTCACAGCGGGGTGAAAGTCACAGCACGTAGGCCGCGCTGGAAGATGCGCGAGTTTGTCACGAGAGGAGGGGGGCAACGAGGTGGTTTAGCGGGAAAGGAAATTCACCGTTATGAAAATGCCCAAATATTTGGACAGGGGAACGGATGGGTTTCATAAGAGGTCTGTCCTGAGCGACTGCATTTACCGCACCGTGTGTACACACCACGTTTCTACGGATTCCGTGGTGAATGTGACGCGGTGAATGCGACTGGATATTTCGTTGACTGGCCTCTCTCTCTCTCTCTCTTCTTCCTTCCTCCACACTCTCNCAC